CCAAACCCTCAGTGTTTAAAAGCTATCAATTCACTGTTACCAAAGACAAGACAGGTGTTAAAGGGACTTGAATTTGTGGACAATTCCTTCTGGCCAAGTGAAAAAAAAAAAAAAAACAATTAATAGTTGCTTGATTTCAGTGATAATTCGCCTTCCTTATATCACCTATTTGAAGATTCTTTCCAATAACTAACATACCTTGTACCATACCATCCCCAGAATTATATAAAATTACCTTAACAAGCAGACTACTGTTAGTCGTTGTTTTTAGCTAATAAAATACAGACTGTCAACTGCTTTTACACGATATTACCAGTTAACTACTTTGTTAGATATGAAAATTCATTAGATTTGTTGGAATTTATAGTCTAGCTGACACCAGGCACCCCTCTCAGTACATTCCTAAATATGAAGTTGTACGAGTTTCAATAGAGTGTAAAGAACGCGGGGTTTATAAGTTTTTATAGGAAGGCGAGAGCCTACATAGGTTTCTATATGGTGTATATTTTTAAAAATTTCATTTAAAATTATATTGATATATTCTTTCCGTATGAAAATACAAATATTTTTTTTTGGAATTAAAATAAATGCCTGCATGATTTTAATAAAATTAATGTATATAACTTTCTTTCTTGAGGTAGAAAATTGTTATGATAATAGCAATATATGTATGCAAAGAGGCTGTGGATAACATAAGAGCAGAGAATGTCCTGAGATTTACGAATCGGAGGAGGAAAACAGAAGAGACGATAAGACGCCCCACCAGCGGTGTAAGTAACCTCTAGGTGCGGAGTCTTAAAAACAGGTTTCCTTTTTTTGGGAAAAAAAAAGGGAGCAGGGCTGAGGAATGATTAGGAAGCAGTTGGCGAGGAGTGGGGAATTTGGCAGCATGATTGATCGTGATGATTAGGATGTTAATTAGGCCGTGAGAGAGGCATCAAACGCGTGCTCTTACAGCTAACTTTTATTATTAACACTGTCTTTTATTTTTAATATAAGAATTTGTTTAATATTTAATTTGATTCTAAATATAAGATCCTAATTCATTTTATTTTTTATATTTATCTATTTTTTTAAGGTGGTCATTGCAGTAATATAAATGTTAAATATTCCATCAAATAGTAATTCTAATCAATACACATAATTAGTAAAGATATTTTAAAAAAACAGTATCTATTTAATATAAATAACTAACTCAACAAATATTTTTATTTATTTAAATTATTTAACTAAGTACCGGAGATATTATTTAATAATTCCGCACTCACTTGTCAGCATGTGTGCGTCAATTAGTAGAGCTATCTTCCGCAGTCCAGAGTCCAGACGGCGCTCCAGTTGTTGACCAAATTACCTGCACCACCCACTTCCGCTTTGAACTTTCAACACACTGCCTTCAAAGTTCTATATATCTTCAGAAATTTAAACAAATTTAACAATTTCCACTATTCCTGAAAAGTATACAGTTTTCATATAATAATAATTAACTAATTTCATTTTTTAATCTTTAAAAAAATTTAATTAGATTTTATATTTAAAGATAAATAGTTGCATAGGAATGAATGCGTGGTGCTAATTATGAGTAACGGGTTTTAATGAACACTCAAAACCCATCAAATTTAGATAAATCCAATGTAAACAATTCAAATTTAATTTTTTTTATTTCTTAAAATAAAGATCTTTTCTAAACAGTCTAGATTGATGAACACCAAAACACATCCTAGTTCCATAGTAGTATTAATATCTATTAAAAATTAAAAAATAGCCGCCTAGCCTAGTCGCTCACATCATTTGTTACTACTTTATGTCTTTAATATAAGAGTTAGTTGACTAATTTGAATAGATTAAAAAAATTAGTTAAGTTAGTTATTTGTAATAAATAGATATTTTTTTCCTAAAATATTTTTGCTAATCAACTATGTTAACTAAAACTATCCTTATTACAAAGATTATCTTAAAAAAAAGAATAAATATAAAAAATAAAATCGATTGGAGGTCTTATATTTAGAATCAAAATAAAAATTAAATAAGTTCTTATATTAAAAAACGGAGTTAGCATTTTTAGAAAACTTTTGGTTCTGACTTATGCAAGAGACTCAGAATTGACATGAAGGTTTGTTGTGAGCTAGTTATGCTTTCAGCCTCCCTCACTAAAATTAGATGGTCGCCAAAATTTTAAGCAGACTGTTTGCCCCATAATATGAAAAATTTTTAAAAAATAATTATGGTTTAAAATATAAAAAGTTGTTAGGATAATTAATAGTTTTTTTTTCTCATTTCGTTCGTATTGATGAATAAAGTTTTACATGTAGGGGGAAGAGAGGGGAAAAATGAGAAATAATAAAAATGCATTTAAAATAAAAAATTTGGACTTTTGATTAGCATTTATTTTAAAATAAAAAATTGATTAAAAGTATTTGTGATTTATCTCGCTTAAAATAGGAGAAAATTACTTCCAAGTCTCAGACAACTCCTCAAAATATTAAAAAAGGTTTTCAAAATAATCAAATTACTTTGAAATAATTACAATGCAAGATGACGGTGATGGCTTTGGCGATCAAGAAGAAGAGGGAGATTTTTTTTTTGCCGGCAGAGAGAATTTTTTAAGTTAATAGAATTTCAGATGTATATTAAATTTATTTGCAATTAAAATTTATAGAAAATTCTATATTTTAAATTGTTATATATACACGACGTCAAAGTGATTTTCCTTAAAATAAGACGGTGTGATGAAGCTCGGATTCCTTTCGCGGCCACGACATTAAATTAAATATTCTTTTATAAATGTTGCGCACGTGGATTATATACAATTCTAAACATGAGGTTATATATATTTAAATTTAAAAGTGATCATCGATGTTTATAATTATCTATTGAGCGCTCATAATTATAATGTTTCGTTCTGGCGCACGCTCTAATTATGCTTCTTTGTCGTCATTTTGAGCATCCATTCTCTGACCCAAAAAATAAAAATTGAGCGTTCATTCATTCATTACATGTCTCTCATATTTTATTATTCATTGTTCCTCCCCCCCCCCCCCCCAACACACACAGAAGCTTTTTTTTTTTGGCTTCTCTCCCGGGGCATTTTTCACTAAGATAGAAATCTTAACCGTCAGAAATTAAATTCTGAATTACTCAATTAAGGAACGGGAGTTCAGACGACTTAAATTGATTAATAAAGACTCATTTTAAATTTAAATGAGAAAAACAAACCGCCCTCAAACTTAGGTTGTGTTTGGCAAAGCTTTTGACTCATATCACTAAAAGGCTAAAATTTGGTTTGACCCCGGCTTTTTTAGAACTCTTTTTTCCTACTTATTGCTTTAGCTAATCAGGCTTATAGACAATTATTGGTGGCTCAAAAGAATATTCTCTCTCCTCTTTCTCATTTTGTCTAACACTTCACTTCTCTCCTCTGTCTTATACTTCACGCATCTCCTCTCTTCGAGCTCGTCTCCTTTGTCTTAGGCGTGTGGGGAAACAATTTGAATAACACGTAACAGTTCTCAATTAATGTTATTACTTTGATAATCCACCGCATATCAGTTGAAGTTTGCTGATGATTTTTGGTAGAGCAGTGGCCTTTCTGATGGATCGATTTTGCCTTTTATCGTACTTATATGCTTCATTTATTTAATATATATTTGATCTGTCATTAATAACCTTATATGCATAGTTAAGAGTTACAAACACGAGTGTACATGGTTTATACAATAATGACCATTCATAACTTTATAAGGAGATATTTGAGATTGGACAACTATTTCCTAAAAGCTGAAAGTGATACTATAATTGGAGAAGATGAGCTGGTCAAGCATCGTCTTCAAATATAACATCACAGTTTCATCGCATATGAATCGTGTTCGTCACATAATCAGATATCAAATTATCCATAGCTTATCAGTTAAATAATTATGTAATTATTTTGTTTAACCGCGTCACAATACAATAAATTCTAATTTGGTCATATTTTATTTTATCCACTGAAATTATATTTCACTTTATATTCATAATAATTTTTTGTGATATCTCTAAGATTTTAAAATATATTTAAGTCATTAAATTTCACTTCTTCATATTAAAATAATTTAAATTTATTGTATTATGTAAATTTGTTTCTTTATCATTTTTTATTATTTAATAAAACTCATATTCATTTTAGTAATTTTATAAATTAAATTTACTAAATTCATTGTATTATGTAAATTCATTCTTTTAATCATTTTTCATTATTTAATAAAGCTCATACCTATTTTGGTAATTTTACAAACTAAACTTATTTTTATTCAATCATAATCCAAACAATCTTTTATCTAATCTAACTTTTATAAATTAACTTTTGTAAAATCCAATCCAAACACAATTTAAATTACTTTTACTCAATCTAACTTTTTTGAAAATTAAATAAGTTACTTTTCCTACTACTAATCCAAACAAATCCTTAATCTTTTTCGACCACACTAACTCCCATCGTCTTATCGATATTAAGATACGTGTATAATTCATAATTTTAAATATATGCAATTGTCTACATATCATGAATCTCCTACACAAATACACTAATTTCACATATCTAGAACTAGAAGTTAAAGACGTAAAAAACTTGATTATCAGTACTCCCCACCCCATACTATACTATATACATATCCGATGTAAATCTTAGATGAATAATAATTTAGAATCAATATCTGAAGTCACAGACGAGTTTTTTTTTTTTTTTTAAAACAAAAGCCCTTCTAATTGATCAAAAGAGATCAGTTTTGGAGTTTAGAAAATATGGAGTTTATAATTCAACTTGAACAATCTCTGCACTTTAATACATCCTCTCTGATGCCTCACATGAAAGGAAACACCAACAGAAAAGAAGACGATGAAAAGCATGCATGTATAATAATCACAAGTCAAAAAGTGGGATTCATAAGGCAAATGAACAAAGTTTCTGCTACCTTAATAATCTGACGGACACATACAGATGGATATGATAGAATTGACGCCATTAATTAGTTGTCTGGTTTCTTGGTGGTGGAGGAGGTATCGTCGTTGAGGAAGTCGAGCAAGACGGTGCTCTTGCACTTGGGGCATTTAGGATCCACATCTGATAACAGAACATACATGAGGCACCGCCGACAACCTACGAGCTGCATCGACCTTGTCTCCACGCTCTCATTTTCTGCCTCCCAAGACACGCACGATGACCCCTCCACCGTCGTCTCCGACGAGTTGTTTGACCACGTCACTATCTCCGACGATGAGTTCACAGGCGACAAGTTCAGCCTCAGATCCAGCCTCGGACTTCTTCTTCCTCTTTCACCGCTCAACAATTTCCCAGGCTCCATTGCCACAGACCTGAATGCATATTGTGAAGGGTCATGAATTTTTCCCACATGTACATGCGTTCAATATTTAGACAGAGTAAAAAATAGAGATGAGTTTTTGAGAATACCTTAATATAATTGACGGAGATCACAGGAACAACTTGGGGTCGCGTCAAAATTGCAGGAGTAGATAGCTGGATGTGAAGAGGGGATTTTGTGTATGTGTGTTTTTGTTTGATTCAAAGGGTGGATTATATAGTGGATGGTATAGATAGAGACCACTAATTGCCCTTTAATAATCAAATTAATTTGCGAGTACGAGTAGAGGAGAATATAAACAATACAGGAGAGGCAACTTATTTCTAGTATTCCTACTTCGTTGATCCTTAATGTCGACATATATATGAAAGTTCATTTTGCTAGAGTCCTCGTAAAACAAAAGCAAGTGTTTGACGAGAAGAGGAAATACAAATCATTTTCACAGTCATAACTATTCATTAATCAAGTGGATAACCTTTAAAATTAATCACAGAAAAGTAGAGATGTATTTGTCACCCTGCTTTTAGTGATCACCATACTAAATTAAAGACATAAAAAGACTAACAAATTGTGGCCATTCAATGATGCTTGGATCAACTGCCCATGAACAAAAAAGGGAGGAGGAGGTTTTGTGATTGGTATTAATTATGAGAAATTCATCAACCAAAACTGCTGGCTTTAGATAACGTAAGTGGTAATAAGGATTGAAGAGAGTAGATGGTCTGTCTCATGAATCACATCACGCCCAACAGAAATTGTAGTTGACAGATCCATTCATGTAGTTGATAATTGCATGTAGCTAATCGTAATAATATGTCCACCGTACACGAGATCCTTGTTACTTGCACACCAACTCGATCCATCCCATATTTGTATGCCTTACCTGTTGCCACTTATAATTAAGACTGTCAAAGTTCTATCTCGCGTTTGTTTGAGAGTTACTGATATCCATTCGTTGTTGGATATATTTATTGTGGTTAGTTATTAGTTAATACCACATTTCATCCCTTATCGGATACTTCTTACTCTTGCAAACATTTTCTTTCGTGTTTCTGCCAAGGAAGTTAAAGAAAAATATGAATTAACCGTAGAGTTGAACTCTTCTTATGTAATGTTCGATACGGAGAAATGTACCCATCTGTCATGTACTTATATATGTTTTGATACATAGATATCTGAAATTATTTATGGAGAGCGAAGTGTACGTGGAAGGGAGAGTTTAAAGTGAGAGCAGAAACAAAGAGGAGAATAAATGAAAAGAGAAGATAGGGCATGGACCGGATTCCCACATTTTCAATTTGAAACACTTATTTTGGTTGGATACTGAATATGGAATCATATTTACAAGGCAATTTGTAATAATGGTGAAACACCAAGCTACGCAACAGATATTTGGCCAGAACAAATATTGACTCATTAGAAAAGGAATAAATAATACTACCCTGGTCTTAATTATAAGACCTTGTTTATAATCTACAAATAAGGTCTTATAATCAGGATCAAAAGTAATACAAGGAACGAGTTTCAGTGCGAAGCAGCTTGATAAGCACAAGGAGCTCATCATCGCTACGCACCGTTTCATTAACGTTCGAATTGATCTTGACCGTTGGATGATGAGCGATCTAAAATGCTGAAGGTGCGGGCGATTTCAATCCTCTCTCTTCGTTCCCCCTTCTTCTTTGGCATCATCTTCATGTGCAGGTAAACACCTGATCAATAATCTCAGCAAGATGCTTCAGGAGGTGCCTATAAAGAGTAGGTTTTGAAGGATCTTGCTTGATAGTTGGGGTGTAAAGTGCTGCGACTTTGACTTCTCTGACTTGAAAAATTCATTGCCTTGATCTTTCAGAGACATTTGTTTTTTTTTAATTTAGCTTCTGCTTCTGCTGAGACAGTCGCCATTGGTATTTTTCCTTTTTTTTTTAATGAAAAGGCAAAATGCATTAATTAAATAGAGATACAGATTTAAAGGTTCATTACACTAGAAAAAAACAGGACTAACCGAAGCAGCTGCTTTAAAATGATCAAAAGTAAAAGTCTAAGAGCTGCAGAAAGTCCGAGACGATAACATCCCGTGATTGTGCTTTGCAGCAGATTTAGACTTGCTTTTTAATTGAGAAAATATCCTCTCTTTTTTTTTTGAATGGCTGCCTCCTGAAAAGGAGAGTTGGTATCCAAACCAAAGCTGCCCTTAAACAACAGCGGAGGAGGTTTCTGTTGAAACATTTGAGTTTTTCCCAGGGGACTTTGATCGAAGACTGGCCCGGGCATTTTTCTTCGAAGAGGAAGAGAAGCGAAAATTTGGAACTTGCATATTATTAAAATAGAAAAAAATAGAACTTGCCTTGAATGGAGGGAACTTCGTTAACTTTATCTCAGAGAACGACGTCGCATGGCAATTAAATAGAGGGAACTCGTCCTTGGCTTTGTTAAAACGGTGCGCATAAATGATGAGCTCTCAGTGCTCATCATCTTGCTTAGCAGCGAAACTGGGTCCGTAGTACAAGCCACAAGGGTATATAAAGAGAGAAGATTTTTTTTTTCAGTGGCAAAAGGAAAAGCCATTCGCACATATGACTTGGATTTTGAAATTTAAATTTTATTTATTAACTTGTTTCTAAAATTTATTATCTAAAATTGAAACGTTACAACTTATTATTGTTAGAGAATATCTATCCAATTGATAACCATCATAATTGAATGCTGTTTATCCAAATTCATTATTCACGCAAAATAAGACAGCCTTTGCAAATTTTTGCTCAGCATAAAAAAAAAAAGAAGGGACAGCCTTTGAAAATATCTTTTCATTCTCTAAGAATGCACTCAACCAAAAAGTGAAAATGCTAAAATTGTATATTATAAGTGGCTAAGTTGTATTCTAAAGTAACATTATCTACATTTCTTAATAAATAGACAATATACGTTTTAATAAAACAAATGCCTATAGCAGGTCAGTAATTTACTCATTCATAAATCATAAATCTTCAAGGTCAAAAGAATAACTCATAAGTCTTAATTCTTACGTAATACTACCTTCTTTTCTTAATATAAAAACTAAATAACTAATTTAAAAATATTAAAAAAATTAATTGAATTAGTTATTTGTAACAAATATGTGTTAACTTCTTTAAGTTACCTTTATTCAATCATGTATTTTGAAACTACATTTGGGCAGAAGTACCTTGCAATCAATAGAGATATTTTTGAGAACACATTATAATTTGAGAGACAAAATGAACTGGAGTTTTATATTTAGGACTGTCAACTAGCTCTTATATTTAAAATTAGAGGTAGTATAACACACTATTCATATTCTCTGTTTTTTTCGCTAGCGATGCTTTTGTAATTCATGAAGACAATCTGTTCGGTAGCATAATTTATTGCCATTACGTGCGTAATACAGTTTAGGCTTCCCTCGTTGACTTGAACCTTTTGTGAATTTCTTACTATGAATTAACCGGCAAAGAATACGTATGTCCATTGAGGAAAAAGATACATACAAGTGTACTGACAAAAAGATACATAGGAAAATATAAACAGAATGAATGGTAAATTTATTTGCTTTTTAATTAAAATTTTAATTTCTTTTCAGAATCACTTGTATTGAAGGTCTTAATAATATAATTGGCAGAAAAGAAAAAGAAAGGTATTAATAATATAAAAGACTAAATGCATCCTCCCCCCTCCGCTGGGCCCCCTCATCTATTAATCTATTAATCAGTAATAAAAAATGTCAACGAAACATTGAGATGGAAACTCAACCAGGGGACGGCATTTAAGACTTCGATCTTACAATGCTTCCCTGAAAAAATCAGACATAAATGAATAGTAAAAAGCTTATAAGATAAGCGCTTGCACCGAGCATTGAGATACACACTTTTTTTCAAGAGAAAAAAATCTCGCCAAATCACGAGACCCTCATAATATTTCAAGGATGAACTTCAGCTTCCCTGTTTTTTATCCTCCGCGTAATTAGTTTCTTTTGCCGAAACAGTTTCTTTCGCCCAAAAAAAAGTAGCTTTTTAAACCTCAAATTTAATTCCGAATGTTCGACCCAAATGGTCGTTCTATATTATGTTGCCTTATCAAACATGGATTAGAAGGAGATACCGCTCCTTTCAGTTTACATTTGAATAACGTGGGACTCACATTTAAATGATATCGCTATCGTTGTTCCGATGAGGAAGCAAATCTATTACAGCCTTTTTCTTTCAAACGAATAGACAAACAGTTTTGCCAAAAAAAAAAGAAGAGAAACTTTACAAATTACAACTTAACGTAGGGACGAGCGTATCAGACATGCTTGTTGTCTCAGCCTAATCCTCAAGAGTTTGCTGTCGTTCAAGCTCAAGAATGCGCTCGGTCAGAGGAGTCACGGTACCATTAGTTGTTCGGTTATTGCTTCTACACTGTTGCAGTTGTTCCTGGAGATGCTTTACAAGCTCATTGAGTCTACGGATGTTCTTCTCTTGCACTAATATAATCTGCAGCAGGAAACATGCATTGATTATCGGATCAAGAATGATGTGGCCCTGCGGCCAATCCTGAGAACCAGCAGCTAAATTTGCTTGGTTGCAAATTTTCGATTTTAGCTATCAGGTATTTGAAGTTAGATGAGTGGAAATTGTGAAGGACATCACTTTTCATTGCGGAGCTTACATATGGTTCCAGACTTCAATGGCAAATAAACATTGCGTATTAACAGTTTCTAATACTGCTTCTGGTCCTTAATATAAGAACTAGTTGACTAATTTAAATAGAATAAGAAAATTAGTTAAGTTAGTCGTTTATAATAGACAAGTGTTATCTTCCCTATAATACCCTTGCTAATTAAGTGTCATTTGATGAAATATTTAATATATAAAACTACTATAAAGACTACCTCGGAAAAAAAGAATAAATATGAAAGTGGATTAGAATCTTATATTTGAGACCAAATTGAAAATCAAACAAGATCTTATATTAAGGACCAGAGGTAATATTTTCCAACAATTAATGTGATTTCATCACCAACATTACTACATTTAATTTAATTTCCCTGTATGTAGACAACCTCAACAAACGGGACAATGAGCTACATTCAAACCTAATTAAATGTGTCCACCATCTAGGTAGAACCTGTTCTGGGGTCAATGGACGCACTACTTTCAGCAGTCTGATAGCATTTGAATAGCATACAAGGCATGAGCTGTCACCAATGACAAAAGAATGATATTTTCTGAAACAATGCGCTAAACCAAATGCACCAGGAAATTCTTCCTCCAATTGGACCATTTGCATATATAATCATTAGAATTAGGATCCCAAGTCATGGATCCCTTGTTTACAAAATCAAAATAAAAGGGCTAGACCATTTCTTCACTAACTGGTTTGACTAATGTTAGTTGATTGTATATTTTATTGTAGTTCAATAATTCAGTGTACTATTTCCTATTTTATATCATTAAGTTCCATATTACCGATTTCAAAGCAGTGCGACGGGTAAACTGGTTTAACTTCAAGCTTACTACAATCTCAGCTGGTGACAAGTTATAAGCTAACTGGTAGCTTTATAAGGTTAGGCTTACTCATTTCTAAGATTTTTTATTTTCTTCTCTGACAAATTCTTAACCCCCAACTATGTTGAATTTTCATCTCGCATCAGCAAAAAGAAAAGGAAAAGGGATAAAAAGGACAAAACCTCCTGATGGTTTCCAAGAAACTTCATCCTTTCAATTTCATATCGGAAAACTACAGATTATCATGTAAAGCAAATGGCTAAAGCAGTGGCTAGCAAGTCATAAACAGGTGTGCCTCTTTACATATGCAACTGGAAGCAATCCAACTCAAAACAAGACCTGTATTACTGCCTAAATTCGGTAATATACAGGATCACCAAGACTGTTGAACTCATAGTATTGGGAGTAGAAAATTTACAATCTTTCGCATGCAGGAACTACTCCAAGAGCCAGGTTTTAAGACAGATCAAAAGAAATAGTAAAGAATCAGGAAACATGGCCAGCCCTTGGGTCGAGAAACAAATATGAAAGGAAATAAAATAAGAGGTATGAAAATTAACAGATTATTAATCCAAGCACAGTATCCAAATTCAATGCAATTTTGATTATCTTACAGTTCCTTCCACATTTTGTTTTCAAAAGAAAGGCTGAAGGTTAAACCAACCACCTATCCACCACTCCCACTAAAGAAAAATTGGACAACAAAGAAATGCAAAAAGAGCATGATCCTGCACTGTCAATAGGAGGCAATACAATTACAAACTGACAACGTTCCAGAGTTCATGTGCCGAATAATGAAAAGAATACATCTAAGGACAGCATAAACACAAACACTAACATACAACGAAATGCAGAAAGACAAAGGTGCAGACTGTGATTAGGTGATTAAAAAAATTATAAATAATCTCTATTGTAGTTTCAGATCTTTATTATACATAACAAACATGAAATATTAAGCATCATTCAGGTGGAAAAGCAGCTTGTAAGCATGACCCTATATGATCTTTTGGAAAGATATAATGCAAAATTGATAGTAATAATTCAATGCAGGGGGGTGGATCTCATCAAAAGAGAGTTTTGGATTGATACATGAAGGAAGAGGTAGAGCTATAATACCTTCTCCTTAACTGTTTCTTCTCTTTTCGAAATCTGGTTCTGCTTTTGAGATACACTGGGATTTGAATCAACATCGGCCACAAGCTGCTGTTTCCACTCAAACTGAGAAGTGATTATAAGTATAAGCAGCAAGAAAACAAGCAACATGGGCCTCGACATCATTACCAATTACAGACAGAAAACCTGCGGATAACAACAATTTAATATCAGCAATTAAAACTGCTGAAAAGGGAACAAATGCACCATCTAAAACCCGTCACTTTGCTCAACAACCAGAAAGAAAAAACCCTAAAGAATATGAGCATTTGTAGGAATGTGACCTAACAAGAATAGGAAAACTAAAATGCAGCACTATTAAAATCACGCCAGAAAGAAAGGGGAAAAAATCCGAAGCTCCCTTAAGGAGAGAAGGTTGTCGTACCAGTGATAACAGCAAGTTCTAACATTCACGGCAAAAGCCCCTCACCAACAATTTTTCTTTCTTTTGGGGGTCGGGGAGGGGGCATACCCATCGCGTCCAGTAATATTTGCAATTTCGATTTCCGAATTTCGAAAAACAAAAGTCAACCAGTTAAATCCGGTGAGGCACATTCAAAAAATTTTCAAATTAGGATATCTGCTATGCTGGATAGTGAAAATATCGGCCAACCAGGATAGTCTCCATTTTACGGGGAGTCCCAGAAAACGGTAAAAATGGTGATCAACGAAGAACTGCCCCGTATCAATTTCTGCATGAAAGGAAAGAAATCATATACATGAGAAATACTTACCGATCGATATAGCCGACAGAGCCCTATATTCATTATCGAAGCAAACTCGAGCTCCCCCAAGGTGACAGCGAACCGATTCGAGATCTGCCAAGAAGTGTCAGTGTTTCTGGAATCAGAGAGTAAAAAGACTTGAATTTGCTGGTCGCGGCTCCTATCGGAACTATCGAAGTCAAAAATAATTTAGGGTTGTATTCCGTTTCTAATGATTTTGTAAGCCCCGGCCAGCACCGTATACAACCTTCGAATATTATTTACTTTGTCTTTTTGACTGTGGGAGGAATTGGCAACTGCTTACGGCGGTAAGATGACGCGGCAAATGATGAATCGCATGCGGTTGGGACCATGGATGTTCCCGTGGGATGAAATGAAAACTCTGGGAACATTGCCACGTCACCTGGTCCCTTGCCGCCCGAGGCATTCACAACACCAGAAGTCCGCAACAAGCGCCTCACAAGAAGTGCCTGTTTGGCTGTTCCAGATGGGAAATCTCACAAGCGGTAGGTCAGCTAGAACCCAAAAAAAGAAAAATAGATGAAAAAACGTTTAACATATTCAGTGCAACAGATTTTTTATTCAAAGATCACTTCAAAACTAAAACAATTTTTATAATTTTTATTTTTTTGGTTTTTTTTTAAATTTAGCTCTTTTAGCATGGTTAATGGTACTAATAGAGTGAAGTTAAATTATTCAACTAAGAGAAAAAAATATAGGTAGCAAATACAATAATTGAGAGAAAGTATAAAATTTACATCAGGATCAGTTGTAGAAACAATTGTTTTTATTAATTAAGAGATGGGAGGTTTACTTCTTAATTTTTACAGTGTAACCGGACACCTGGTCACCAAAATTCCTAATATGGAAAGATGTTTGCAGTGTAGCACTTGAGAAAACGCCTACACATTTCATGAAATCATTCCTAAGATACTAATCCAAACACTTTCTTTGTCAACTTTAAATTTCTCTGTTGTTTGTGTGCTGTAAGAGTTAGGTAGCTGGGCCTTGGCCTATTTATAGTTGTATTGTAAGCCCATTTGTCCATTTATGTTTGGATACATATGGATCACTCTATGATCCTTTTTGGTGGATGGATTATCTTCAGGTTAATGACATACGTTTCCGATTCTTAGTAATGCATACTTTTCCCCGTTTTGTAATACAATTTATACTACAAGATAGGTTTCATAATGACCAGAGGGAGTAATATTTTTCCATTTCTCTGTTGCTTTGTGAGTTTATGTTAAGCCTTTACAGGCTATCATGTGCTATATATCAGTAACGTATACATTGGCTTGTGGAGGAAAATTTAGGTATTGAGGTCGAAAAATTGTTTATATAAAGACAATTTAACGCCCTGCGGGCCAAATAACATGGGGTCATTCTAGCATGACAAATAGTTCAGTGACTCATAAAATATTGAGTGTGCATATGTTTTTTAGGGGATGTCTGGTAACCATGAAAAGCATTTTTTAAAAACATTTTTCTGTAAATCGAAATAAATTTCTCTACTTATTTATTTCGTATGTCATAAAAATATTTTTAAAACAATAATTTTGATTCCATCCAGATATTTTTTTAGTTTATGTTCTATCTCCTGGATACAAAATAACTTGGAAAAGTAAAACAACAAAATTATATTGAGAATCGAATAAAAATTAGAAGAGTAAAATACTCTAGCCTTACTTACATTTTACCCTGATTACACGAATCTCCTTTTATTTTGAAAACATACATACAAGTTTAGACTATTAAATTCATTAAAAATATTTTCTTAATTAGAATTTATGGTGAAATACTTTTTCTTTACTAATTTACCCTTCATAATACTATTTTAAAGAATTTAAGATTTTTTTCTTTACTTTAATTTTTTATTTCTTATAAATAGTTATTTGTTTAATGTTTTTATCATATTGAAAAAAAAAGAGTAATTTAGTTAATGTAAACATAAAAAATTGAATGAAAAGTTGATTAATTCTTTAAATAAATAGATAATCGATCAAATAACTCATAAATGTTTTAAAAAAAGTTTTATTTAAAAAATTTTAAATTATAAATTTAAATAATTCATATGATGTTCCAAACCCACATGATTTATATTATCTGATAAAAAAAACATGAATCTAAAATATTTTCTACCCATTTAAAAGAAACCTAAATAAATAAGCTTTTAATACGTCATGAAGAACTAAAATTATAGATGCTATAATATGATAAAAATTAATAAATTTTATAACATATTAAAAAGTTTGAAACTACATGTATTATAATTAATTTTTGTTGTGTCAAAAATAATTTTTTTTGATAGACATAAATGTTTAAATAAAGTTTATATTGAGGAGGGATGTTTTGATCAAAATAAAAGTTTGAAAGTCAAACCTAGAGGTCAACTAATTGTTGGATGAATGTAAGTAAAATCTCAACCATATAAGAGAGATTTATGTAATATATATTTTAATTTTAATAGAGGTTTATATAAATTTTAAAAATAGAATGGAGGTTTATGTAATTTAAGCAAAACAAATGATGGTCAAGAGACAGGTGATTCCAATCAAGGCATTGAAAACCAGTAAGTATTAAATCTGTCGGGGCAAATTTAAGGATTAATAATCCAATCATGATTAAGTCCAAGTCAACATGTCACTTCTTTTATGGCCTTATATCTAACACTGCTACTATGATCTCGTTCAAGTATTGAGTTTAGTTGACCGTGTTACCCAAAAAAAAAAAAGAGAAAGGAATATTAAAGTATATAAACTGCACATAATCGAATGATATGAAGTTATTAAACACAAATCTATTTTTTATATAACTTCTTATTTTAAGATAACGACAAAAAAAAAACAAAAAATTCAATCTAGATCAATTTTCTCCCAAACTGTCGAGGAGTGATAAGAGATTAATTCACTGACATGAACTGGCGAGACGGATGGTGTCGCAGTATGATGATTCAGATGGAGGAAGCATCCCAGGTAAATGAAAATTGTAGAATCTGGAGAGATTGATCAATAATTGCTCAAGCCAGCGTTGAGCACACTGTAGCCACCATCCACCACAAGATTATGACCACTCACATACTTGGACTCCTCACTGCCCAAATAAAGAACTGCTTCTGCAATATCTTGGGCCGCAAGAGCAGTCCCTTTCAGATTAGAATAGAGCTCTGCAATTCCCTCATCGTCCATCTTCAGAAAAGTCCTAGTCATCGGCGTCGGAACCGCATACGGCGACACGCAGTTCACTCGAATCCCATATCTCCCAAGATCCACCGCTGCGTTCTTCATCAGCCCGATCACCCCATGCTTCGAACAAATGTACGCGCATGTGCCGACACCCCCCATGATTCCGCTCACGCTCGCCGTCGAAATTATGGAGCCCTTCCCTCTGGGGATCATCACCCTCGCCGCGTACTTGGTTCCCAGAAAAGAACCCACTAAGTTAACGCCGATCACTTTCTCGAAAACGCTCTTCTCGGAGTCCGCTATGCTGGATGCCGGCCCGTCTATTATTCCGGCGTTGTTGAACATGATGTCTAGCTTCCCGTACTTGGAAACCGCCGTGTTGACGGCGTTCTCGACGTCTTTTTCCTTGGTGACGTCGCAGTGGACGTAGGAGGAGGAATCAGATAGGTCTTTGCAAACAGAGAGACCCAAATCATCCTGGACATCGGCGATCACCAGTTTAGCTCCGTGCTTGGAGAAGAGTCTGGCAGTGTACTCGCCAATCCCCCTGGCGCCACCCGTGATCAGCGCCACCTTCCCTTCTAACCTGCTTATTAAATAAGTACGAGTTAATACTTTTCTGACTGTGTCTGTGTGTGAATCGTTAATCGAGAATGAAGAAAAGGTATCTCAGTGTGGGAGAGGAAGCCGGAGTATGTTATTACCTTCTGGCAGCAGCTGAGAGTAGAGTAGCCATGAGCCAGCCCGACAAAGTGTTGCAGAGCTTTGTCTGCCAAACTTGCTATTTACTGATTTCGGTGAGGAGGGAGGCCATAGTTGTCCTTATAATATTGCATTGCGTTATTGCCATGAAGGTTGCGAAAGTGGAGCCAGGACTGGATAATATATTTATTAGTCGCTACCTAATACCTCTTGGTTAGATGGGAAGGAAAGGATACGGCCAGAGAAGCTAAGAAGACATTAATTCCATGCCCCCACTGGGTTTGGTCAAATGATGTTTATCATGCAACCAGTTTCCACGCTCATGCTCATCCTAGAAATGAGCAGATCAAATTTCAAACATAAAGTTTTGATATTAATGGTTGAGATTTAATTGTTTATATTTTTTAAAAAAATAATTTTCTTTAATAGGTAAATAATCCAAAATAAATATAATATTTTAATTATAAATTTTTTAAAAACAATTTTTTATTTAAAAAATATTAGTTGAGAGTTTTAAATCTAGATCTTTAAAATTAAGTTTGAGTCGTGTAAATTTTACTAGCGCGATGAGCATTATGGTACTTATCACAATGATGAGCACCGAAATTGATTTTGTTTATCATGTGGTTGATATTATTATGAAAATCCATATGATGGAATCAATATATTTACTTCTCACACATCATTTCTTTGATTAAGAAATGCACAATCTCTAGCGAGTTTGGAAACTCATTAGAGTGATGAGCATTGAAAGCTCATCATATCTGGGCCATTTAGATCTTATTTGGATAGTTTAGATTTAATTCTTTTTTTGTTTTTATTTTTGGTTTTAAGTGAAAATTATTTTTAAAAAAATAATAGTTAAGAGATTATCTTTATTTTAGATTATATACCCATTAAAATAATTATTTTAAAAAAGTAAAAATAAAAAAAATTAAATTTGGACCATCCAAATTAGATATAAATGATTTAGATACGATGAGTTTTCAGTGCTTATCAGAAAACTGGTTCCATTGAAATTCAATGTTGTGTTTTCTTAATTG